TTCGTCCTCTAGGTTCTTCCAAATTACTTTTAACAGGATCGAACTTTAATTTATTCAATTTCTTAATTATTTTCTTTAATTATTTGATAAAATAGAATAGTCTTGTCACCACTTGTTTTGTAGATATTTTGATGTTTTATATATATATATATATATATATATATATATATATATATATATATATATAATTCCACCCAAACTTTCATATAAAATAAATTAAAAATAAATTCAGTCAAATATCATAACATAAACGGGGAAGAACCTAGAGGGACGGAGGGAGTAATAATATGAATAGTAATAATAATAACAATAAAAACAATAATAATAGTAAAAGTAATAATCATAAATGCAATGAAAATAATATGAAAAACACGTCAATAGATTTTTTAGGTCATTGTTGGAAGTTAAAAGAGTTGGAAAAAATTGGAAGAAACTAAATGAGTTGGATGAAACTGGAAGGAGATGCAACAAGCTAGGAGTTGGAAAAAACTGGAAGGAGTAGAAAGAAAACCTACAAGGAGTTGAAAAATATTATACTCCGTATTAGAAGTTTAAAAGATAACAAACTGAGAACTTGTTTGGTCTTGATTTTCTAGGTTACATGTTCGAATTTGAATTGTGAACTCTTTAATATCTCATATAGAAACGAACATGATATTCCAACATATTTATTAGAAAAGTAATCACAAATCTACCACAAAGAAGTGTCTTTCTCTGAAGATCCTCAATGGAAACAAGCCATTAAAATTAAAGTTGGTTCTATTTTACCGAATCTCACTTGAGAGTTAGTGAAACTACATATCTCCAAGCTGCAACCCATTAGCTTTAAAGTGCATCTTATAGAGGAAAGAGAAACCAAATGCTTCTATTGATAATACAAAGCAGACTTGCAATTAAGGCTTATAGTCAAGGTGAAGATTTTGGTTACTTTGATACCTATGCTTCTATAACAAGGATAAATTCGATTAGAAAGATACTTGCAATCGCTTCTTTACGAAATTTAGGAGTTCACCAAATGGATGTAAAGACAACTTTTCCTATTGGATATCTTTGCGAAAGATCTACCTACATGGGATAACTTGAGGGTTTTAAAGTTTAGGGTCAAGAAAGGAAAGTTTGTAAACATATTAAGTCATTATGTGATCTTAACCAGGTGCCTATGCAATGACAAGAAAAGTTTGACCAAATAATTATTAACTTTGACTTTATAACTAATGAAACAGGTAAGTATCTCTACGAAAAGACACAGCCCAGGAGTATGTCATTCTATATTTTTATGTAGATGACATACTCACAACGAATATCGATGACAAGATGATCAAGTCTATTAGAGACATGTTAAACTCATAGTTTAACATGAAGGACGTGATGGGTTTGGCTGAAGTAATTTTTGATAATTAATATTGTAAGAAGACTAGATAATCTCCCTCTGAGCCAATCTCATTATTACATTGATAAAATCCTTGATAAATTCAACAAGAAGGATATAAAAATAGCTAATACTGCATTGGATGTCTAAGCTCAAATTAAGGTGCATATGGTTAAGGTGCTAGAAACTCTTAAATTTAGTTTGCGGGAGCTATTGGGAGTTTGATGTAATTAGTTAATGAATTGTACTTAACCATACTTAGTTTGTGCTATCAGTAAACTAAGTAGATACACCAAAAACGAAGAACCGTTCAAGCACTGGCTACTCGAGATATATATCCACTAGTATTAGAAGGATACATGAATGGGAATTTAAGATAAGAACATAAAAAGTAGCGGCCTAACAGAAACCCATCGGGTTTCTGCTTACCGGCATGCCAAAACATAATGGTTAGTTCCAAAGTGAAATTAAATATACTTACCTGTGTCGCAAATTTTGGACCAAGGAGTCTATCCTCAGGACCATTGCCCTCGTTTGAGTTCCATTTTCTTCAATTATCGAGGTGAGTCGTGGTTATATACCAAACATAAGCATTAATTCATAGATTACATCAGATATCCATATTAACCTGACAGTCCCCACACCACTGCCTTAGTTGGCCACCCACTTGTCGGCCCACAAGCGCATATAGTACTCGTCAAACCTCGTTTCATCCAATAAATTTAAAATTTAACCTAATTAAATCTAAATGGACCCATTTAATCCTAAATAAACCCAATCAGACCCAATTAAGCCCAACCGGACCTGTCTAATGAGTCACTAATCTCAGCTGGCCCTACTGCAATCGTCCCGTCGGGAATCTCACCAAAAACTTTTGGAAGCTCCCCAATGTAATCCTAATCATGCTCTTACCTTATTCAACAATCAATTCAAATTTCAATAATCAAATCATCTAAATTCACAATCAATTGTAAGATTTAACAGTAGGATATCTGATGTAATCTATGAATTAATGCTTATGTTTGGTATATAACCACGACTCACCTCGATAATTGAAGAAAATGGAACTCAAACGAGGGAGGACCGCTACTACTACATACTCCCGTCGCTTCAAATTGCACCAAAACAGAGAGAGGAGGATGGAAATGATAGTGATGACTAGTAGGGTTTTGCAGCGAACAGAACAAGGAACAATGCTTTTGTGCGTTAATACATGTATTAATAGAGTTGGGGTCCAAGTTCCACCTCCTAGTTTAATTAGTTCACGTCCACTTAGGTCCACTTAGGGGCTGTTTGGCAACTTCTGAATCGGTAAGTGCTGAACCAGTAAGAGGTCTGAACCATTAAGTGCTGAACCAGTAAGAGGTCTGAACCATTAAGAGCTAGTATATTGTTTAACTATTTAGAGGCAAATGTCTGACCAATTCAGATAAGAGGTCTTAACCATTCAGACTCTGTATAATACTTAACCATTCAGAGGCAAATCTCTTAACCATTCAGACATCTGAACCATTAAAAGGCTGAAACAAACAGTCTGAACCATTAAGTGTTGAACCATTCAGACATCTGAACCATTAAGAGGCTGAAACAAATAGCCCCTTACTTAGTTCGTGAATCAAAACTTGGCCCAAAACTCCATCTCACGGTCTATTTGCATATGCGGGTTTAGATTGGCGAGCTCTACATCAGAGAATTAAATCCACATTAAAAAGACCAATTTCAAAATAATCTTATTCATGTCTTACTCAGTAATTAATTAATTATTTAAATTAATTAAAATACTAAGCGGGTTTTAGGGCATTCATAATTGAACAAAAAAATATAAAAAAAATTGTGACAAATGGATTAAATTTTGTCCATATTCAAAATCGTTCATGAGTGGCTTTTCACATTCCAAAACATTATCATGGTTGCCATTTAAAAAGAGAAGGTTACTTCACGTTGAAGGGTGTGAAAGAGAATTTGAATACTTTCTTGTTTTCTAGCAACTCTTTCCAATTTTTATTTTCCTTTGCTGGTGATTGTCCCATGCCGCTCTCGTTCATTGGTGTAGTCTTGGATCGTTCCACTGGCCTAAACATTCACGGTTTTATCTTGGGAGGACGACACTCACATTTTGATGTATGGTAGGTGGGCACTACTATATTTAAGAGAGCTATTATGGGTCCACATTTATACTCTCCATCTCTATCTCAACTACTATCAGACTCCACTTGGTGCCCTAGTTAGATCGTCACTGTCGCTATATAACAAAGTAGCTACCGTCACTGTCTATAGTCACTGCTGCTGCTAATCAACATTATTTGCTTTAGTTTAATCTTTGTTTGAATGGTAGAATTCAAATAATAATTATAAATATGAGAAATTTACCTAAATAAGACTAAAACATAATGACTTTCCCAATATAGGACCATATGTTTTTATTTTCCAATGTAGGACCTTTGGTCATTATCAAGTAGTCATTATTCAAGTAAATGTCCATCATTACTGGACATTATTCCTTCCACTAAGTCATTATTAAGTCCTATTTAGGGAATAAAAAAGTTTAAATCCTACATTAGGAAAGTCATTATGTTTTAGTCTTATTTAGTGCAAATTTCACTATAAATATTTATTATCTTGTTTTGTTTGATTTTGTACTCGGAGCTGTTCATATCCTTCCTCATCCTTGTAACCGTTCATAGTACAACACATGTTTATCTTGATCGAATTTCATATGCAGTTAGACTTTTAAACTCGGTCTCATGGCCCTAATTGCCAAAATGGTAGGAAACGACCACCCTTCTCAAATCACTCATACTAGCACAAACACATAAGACCCATGTACGTACACTTAATGATATCTTATTTTTTCAATTGGGCGAGTTATAAAAGCTTTAGAAACGTTATAACTCTATGTGGGAAAATGAAAAGGTTTGGTCATCAATCAACTTATAGGTATTTCTTTTTTCTTGACCCGAATCTTATCTCATGCATGGTGAACATAAATTACCTTGTGTAACATGTTGCTTGACTATAACAAAATACTGAGCCATGGACACTTGTGTGGTAGAAGTCATGTGGCTTGGATATCTCATGGACGCTTTGCACCTATCTTTTTTTAAACTATAACTCGTTTTCTATAATGATTCCGCCATGTGCAGAGCAAATTGTTTAATGTATGACCAAAAAATTCCCACTGCAAATATTTCATTTTTTCATATTTTTTATTTTAGTCCTTATATCTTAACTCTAATAGATCATATGCATTCTACTTTATTTCACTGTGCATCGTTCTCATTTTAACCAAATTATATATATAGTAATTATAATACTCGTAATATTGATCATAATAGTACTTACATATTAGTCAGTTTCAATTGTCTGGTAGTTTCATATCTTTGCTCATTTTACAATATAATATCAATTCATACATATTTTTTCTCAACTGTACCTATTGAAGGGTAGAGAGTTACTTTGTTTGATAACTAATAAAACTATTTTTATGATTGCCCATTGTTTCTTAAAAAAATCTCATTTTCAATCTTTTGATGTTATATATATAAATTATATATCACTCGCATTTCATTCTTTCTAAAAAAAATGTTTAATTTCCATTTAAAAACAATTTAGGTTGAATGTGTGAATGCAGGAGTTATTATCGGTGCACCCAAGATAATTGTCGGGTCAAGAAACGGGTTGAAAGATTAGTTGAGGATCCAAGGATGGTGATAACAACATACGAAGGTCGACATGCTCACTCTCCATCTCGCGATGAGGTTGATGATTCGCAACCTTCATCTCAATGCATTAATCTTATCCTTTGGTAATAATCACGAATCACTCAAACACTTTCGAGTATATGTATGTATGCACATTATCTTTCATCGAATTTAATTGTTATATTTTGCAATAGATTATGCAATACTATCTACACAATATTTTATTTATACTCGATGGAATTATTAGTTTATCGCCCGACTAGTTTGGATGATTTTAAGGCAGGATGTCAAGTTTGAGGTCTTTGTATCCAATCCTTACAAGAACATTGTGGAAGTTTTATCCAATGTGATAACTCCTTATACACACAAGGCATGAGAAAATCTCTCCAAAGACAAGACTAGGGGGTGTATTGTACATAGAATTCTATTCATATTTTTAAAATCAATTATTTCTATTCATTTTTTAAATGTTAATGGACTTTGTTGAAAGTCATGGACTTCTGTTGATATTTCGAAAGTCATTGACTCAAGTCCATAGACTTTTATTTATATATCTTTCATAGACTTTACTTCCTCCATCTAAGTATGTTTATCCAATGTTTCACTTTTTACATTCAAGTCAGATGATTTTTAATTCTTAATTAATAAATATTATATTTTTATATTAATAACAAAATAATTTTTTATTAATAAAATAAATATTATATTTATATTATATTATATTTTATTTTAATAAAGTAAAATAATTTTTTGAATATTCTTTACAAGATAATTCTAATTACATTATTTTTAATACAAACTGATAATGTAATATTTATTTAGTTGATGATTAGAATTTATCCAGTTTGAATTTAAAAATTAAAGTTGACCAAGCACAAAGGAGAAAATTTAGTATTTTAATAAAATAGATAGAAAACATTGTATTGTGGTGCATTGAATTCATCATCTCAATGAAATGTTCCAACAAAAATGAAAACAAACTCTACTAAAACAAATAACGTAAAAAAATTAATTATTTTCACTATTAGCTATTGTCCACGTATAATTTACAAGATTCAATCTCCATTCATTAGCTTTCTCTCATTGTGGATCTTGTGTTTGAGCATCATCCCATTCATAACTCTTATTTACAGTGTCTTCATCTAGAGCCGGAGGAAATTCAGCTGAACGACATTCACATTGAAGAAAATTGTGTAGTCCTGGACACGCTAAAACAAGTTCTTCTTCAGGTGGTCAAGCCTCGTAACGCGTAATGGGAAGATCTTAGGTGAACGGAGGGAGTATTAAATAAATAGTAGTAAGAACCAAATGTGCGCCAAGCTTAAGATTCAATTGTTCGGTCTTCTGTACAGGCCGGGTTGGGCTAACACCTAAAAAACTCTCGGAACGTAGTGTCTGGATCTGACCAAATCCGACTCGGCCCGACCCAAACTTTAATCAGGTCTACGCAAGATCAAATGTGGCTAGAGCTAGAGGAGGTGAATAATAAATACGCAGAGGGGACTATGCTGGTCTCGATCTGGACCAAACCCTTTTTCCTTTCAATTTCACGGCCCATCAGATAAAATTTGACTACTTCCAATTAAATTTATGCCCCAATTAAGATGGATTTTTTATTTACAAAAATGGAGATGGGTTTTGGGGTCATCAATCACCATAAGTCCTCAACCCGATGATGATTCCGAAAAACAATGTGTTCTATTCTGTGGTAAGACTTCAAAGATCGTTGTGCCTTACATTTTTTATTTTAAATTTGAAAATAAGGTTCATGGTTAGAGTATACCCCTAAAGATCATATGAGAATTTGCTTATATAATCATATACTCCGTCATTTTTATGTTTAACACTTTTTGAATTGTTGGAATTTTTGGCATTTTTTTTAATAGACATTAAATGGACCAATTTGAGTATATTTGTCAATAGGTCCACTACGGTTTTAACCGTTAATTAATGGACGTGTATTCTCTTAAATGAGATAAATATTTTGATAATTTATATGCCAAAAATGGTAGAGGGTAAATGAGAAATTGATTCTCAGATGAACTGTTGAGTAGAAGAAAATATTTATTATTTTCAAACTTCTACGACCTGTTTTACACGTTTGTTCTAATTAGTTCCAATTTCGGAGTTAACTGGCTATTAATCTCCAATTTATAGGAACAAAATTTAAACTAACGTGTATGCCAACAGTTGGTAACAATGAACATAAATTATATAATCATTGTGATTATTAATGAGTGTCATTATGCCCATGATAAAGAATTGATCCGTTTCAATTCTTAAAAAATTGAAGACACATGTTATTTGTATTAAATGTGAAATGGCTTTCAATCTTCTTGTTTTTGATATATACGTACAAGAAGAGGAAAAAGAGAGATTGCCTATAGTGATTAAAGTTTTTTTTTTTGTTTTCCCTCTTGGTTTTTCACGAACAAGAAAGGAAAAAGAAGAAAAAAAAACTTTGTGAGTACAAAAGCTCTAGGTTTTTGCCAAAGTTTCAAGCCATCCTCTTCAACATTTTTTTTTAGACGGCAATACTCCGACGTTGTTCTTGTTCGTTGGTGTGTAGTCGGTCCGTACAACCACTACACACGATAGCGGTTTTATCCTGAGAGGAAAGTGCCCACGTTCTCCAGTACGGTAGGCGGGCACTATTACCTTAAGGATAGCTCCGGCGACTCCGCTGCCTTTCTACAGTGTTCTATTTTGCAGATTTTGTTCTCGAGTTCTACGTCCCAGTTCGCTGCTTCTTTTTAGTGCACAAAGTCCTCATTGTCAAAGAAGGCCTTTGAAGATCGGAAGCTAATTTTATTTTATTTGTTGTAATTAATCCGAATAAAATTATAAATTCGGATTATTTTATTTCTTTTAGTTTCCGGGACCGTTCCTCTTTCCCGTCTAATGTAATCCGTACGATCATTTCTAACATGAATTTCATGAATTTAAGCTATAAACTTTTTGATCGCTCTTCAAAAAGTTAACTTTTTAATTTTCCTAAAACGTAAAAAGATTAACCAAATGTCTCAATTAATATTCTGATTTCTCGATATAACTTCAAAGATATATATGAATAAAATAAAATATTCTTCTCACATCTTATTTTATAAAGTAGAACTTTTGATATAGTTTTAAAATACAAAGTATGTAATTTGTACGAGGTATATTTCTTTCAATACTATGTAAAAAATAACGTTTAGAAAATAAAAGTATTTTTTAGAGCTTTAAAAAAAATTGGAGAAATCAAATTTTACACATTATTGGAATTGAGAAGATGTTACATGGTCAAAATTTTAGAAGGGTCCCACTAATTTTCACACTCCCCTCTCACTAAAGTTTAGATATGCTACGTAGTAATACTGTTAAATATTTGTGATTTATATAAAATGTAGATTAAAGTTGGGATGTTAAGTGTTTCCAAAAATGCTTTTAGGAAATATGTATCGGATATTTTAAACGGATATTATCTGTATCCGGTTAAGCATATCTAATTACTAGGCGGATACAAATTTGGTAATTATATTTCTCATCCGTTTAAAATCTGATCCGGATATACATCCATTAAAATAACTATTTATCTGAATGCCGAATTACTAGTACCTACCTAGCCCATTATACTTGGCCCAAATATCCAATACCTTTTAACCCTGATTACTCGATCGTCCCTCTTTCAATCGAGTCGCAGCCTCTCCCACCCAATCTGCCCACCTCTCTCAATGTACCAGCCGATCGTCACTCAGCCTCTCACGTTTGAATGCAACCCATCTCCGACTCTCTCAATCAATTCACTCAGACTCTCCCTCATTACCCGATCATCTCGCCCAGACGTCATTGCCATCTCCTAGACGTCTCTCGCTCTCTCGTCTTCCCCCATCTCCGACTTGTGATCATCTGCATCTAGCTATAGACAAGAAGGTATTAATTTTTTTAATTTTTTTCTTCTAATCTTATTTTGACATTATTTGCTTCTTATTTGCTTTTAATATTTTCTAGATTTTTATCAGATATTCTATCAGCTTCGGATATTCAGTCAGTTTTGGATATGTAATCGGATCTGAATATATTCGTGAATATATTCATAGCCAGGAATTATCCGTCAGATCTAGACTCCGATATAGAAATGTAAATATCCATCGATTACGGATAGATATATCACTACTACAAAAATGACTTTACACAGCGGATAAAAAAGGCTTTTCCCACCGCAAAACAACCGCTGTCTATGCAACCGATGGGAAAAGTTTCTTGTTTACACAGCGGATAAATTTGCGCTGTGTAAAGTTTACACAGCGGATATTTTTTCGATGTGTAAAGTTTACACAGCAGATAATTATCCGCTGTATAAAAATGAAAGTTTTCCCATCGATTGCATAGACATCGGTGGTTTTGCGCTTTATACAACGGATAATTATCCGCTCTGTAAACTTTACACATCGGGTAAATATTCGTTGTGTAAACAAGAGCACTTTCTCATTGATTGCAAAGACATCCGTTTTTTGTTTATGGGAAAATCATATTTATCCACCTTAAAAATTTCTAGTTACACACACACATCTAATGAAATTAAAATTTTATTAAATGTTAAAAAAAAAAGTGATTCAAACAAATAAATACAATCCAACAAACTGGATCTAGTGCTAATTCTACAACCTATTACAAAAAGTGGACACAAGTCTTAAAGCCAAAGCATAAAATACTAGACAAACATTCAAACATTAAAAATGAACAAAATTACAGTCCATATTCCCCCATAGCAGTTTTGGATTCCAGCATATTTGCCACCTCCATATGTTAGTTATCCTTTTGAGGCTTCAGATTAAAAAGTATCCACGTTCTTTAGGTTGAGACAAAAGCATACTTCATTGCTCTAAAAACCCAACATCTTGGCATTGAGTATTAAGATCCAGTCCTGATCAGATATGTAGAAAAGACAATGTAAAGATATAATATACTGTTAATAATTAATACGGAGTATATCAGATCATAAACCATCACACTTTGCACATATTATTCATTCTTTCACAAGTTTCTTAAGTAAATTACAAATGAACGGAAAATGAAAATAGTTGCAATCCTTTCAATGATATTCTTAGACTCATACACGGTAGTGATGTACTGCTGTCTATACTATAAGTTTGCATTACATACTTGTTGATCTAAGTTTTGCTTTTTGCACAAAAAAATTCAAAAAAAACAAGTTAAAATAAAATAAAAAGATAATTTTAGTCTTATCTCACTTCCACAAATATTTTAAAAGAGCAAACCGTAAAGGCTTTTCTATCAAATTGGCTCATTTATAATTATAAACTACACTATTTAAATTTACAGGGTATAACTTTGTACCAGTTTTAAGGATAAAACTATGCTTGTGTGGAGTTCTAGTTTTCTCCTATTTTCCATGTATCCTCCATTTGGGCTGGTTGATGACTATTACTCTGTACTTAATAGAATAGTTCTGAAGAGTATTAGATTTTTTTTGGCACCACTAGATTTTGATTCGTAGTCCATCACTGTCCAAAAGATCTTATGTTCAGAACTAGCTCGAGTTCCTTTATTCATAAAAGTGGAGTTAAATTCTTTTTCTAGTCTGTTATTATGCTAGGCAGCAGATTTACCAAAGTGATCCTAGACTAAAATAGACTAAAATATTTGGGAAATGTGAGAGTTATGATAAAAGGATGCAAAAGCTTCACTGCCCAACAGGCTATCTAACTCACAGATATGCAGTGGCTAAAGTCGGAGCAATGGACTAACAGACTAACCGATGTGCAGTGCAAAATGGGAGTTGTTATTAACCTAAAGAAACAACATAGATGCTTAATGCTTCACTCATCCCTTTTCTAACATATTTTAGTGGCCAGAGAATGGAAAAATACTCACCATACAGAAATACCTCAGCTTTATACTCAAGCAACAATGATAAAATCCCTTCGTTAATTTGGAAATTTACCTTAAGAGGTATACACATGTCAATTCTTCAATTCTTTTGAATTGTTCTTGCCTCTTATCAGAGTTCTTCATATTCCTAAGGACATGTTGTTGAGGGGTCTGTACTTGAAAATAGAGAGAATGAAACAAGGTATGAATATGAAATTATATTAGTCACAAAAATAATATCTGCTAAATTACTTTATTCATGATTAACAACTAGATATTCAAACTGCAAGGGAGAAGATGGATTTCTCATTCCAAATGAAATATTTTTATACGATAAAGGTGAAGTAAATGTATGAGCAATTGAAAGGTAACAATGTTTATTTAATGATATTCATTCTAGCAAAGAACTGGACTTGATTAATGATCTATGCCTGTATCATTCACTACCATGTCCATGTTCACAAAAAAAAAATTCTAGCACTTATCTCTTGTGATGAGCACATTTTACTAACAAAGCCACAACTCCAATTTTAATAGTATAGTCTTTACCTGAATCAAGCTAGTAGAAAAATAAAAAAATGATCAAACAGAAGTGAGACTCACCTAGCAAAGAGAATAGTGCAAATCATTGAAGCAGGAATAGAGGTAGACATTTTCTCAAACACTTTGTAAGCATGATTGTTTTTTATTTTTATTCAAAACTTGCAATAGTAACCTATACTATACCAAAATAATAAACCATTTTAACAAAAAATTGTAGAAACTACAAACTAGAGTATAATTTCAATAATATATAAAAAACACAAAAAAGATAAAATATATAAATTCATGTGCCTGCAATGTAATCAGAAAAAAGAGAGGACAAAAACTTTGCACAACAACTTGGTCAAATCCAGATGTGAAATAAGAGAAGGATCAACATCTTAAAAACTCAAAATAAGTGTTGAAACTCACAAATAATCTTTAAAAATTGATGATTTTGGAAAGAAAACATATCTCTGAGGGGCAATTCCTTTCGACCTGCTTCTGCCTTAGTCTGCGCCGTGTTTACTGCCAAATAATCGAAGAGGGTGAAGAATTTTTAGCCTGCACCTCGATTAACATATAACATTAGAAGAGGAAGCATTCACGTTGTTCAATTTGGGGTGGAAGTGGGGAATTGATTGTATAAGATAGGGTTGAAGGGAGATGTTTAGACAGCAGATATGAAAAACTGCGATGTATAAGAGTAAAAAAATTAATGAGTGCGCCTCTGATATCTAAAACACGCGTGTGTATTTTAGCCCTGGTTTACACACCGGTTTTGATATACCCGCCGTCTAAAATGCGCTGTGAAATGATACTTTTGTAGTAGTGTATCCATCCATTACGGATAGATATATCCTAAAGTTTAACCAAATACGAACTCAAATATGCCATATCTGCAGATATTCGCTTACCGCGCTAAACATGCAAAAAATTACTTTCGGATAACGCGAGTTTTGTTGAAATAACTCGCAGGTCATTGCCTTTTTAACAGACATCAGGGTTCCTTATATTTTATTTTAAAGACTATGAGGGGACCTTCCGTCCATTATTCCATTAATAGCCCTTAAGAATATATATTTTTTCATTTCGTCCATACTATACACTTACATAAGAAATTGTAAAATCTTTATGGAAAAAGAAAAATGAAGAGAAAGGAAGCTAAAAGGTGAAGGCTCACAACTTTATTTGCATAAAACCATTAAGGGGAAAATTGGAGAAATATATTTTTTTATGATGATTAACAAAATATTAAATGAAATGTCCCATCCTAGACTTTGCAATAAAATGTTAGAGCTCCTGATGTTTTTTTTGTAATAGAAAACCAATAAGTTACTTGAATAAAACCCACGTCTCCCCGTAGGGTTGTAAACGAATCGAATCGAAGCGAATATCATAATATTTGAATTTGTAATTGATTAATTCTTTCGAATACGAATCCGAATACGAATATAAAACGAATTAAAAATAAGATTTATATTTGTATATGATTAATATTTGAATAGTTAACGAATCGTAAACGAATATTTGAATAATCATATTCCGTAATTTATATGTCGATTTTGAATAATTTAACTTACAATATTTCTTATACCATATCTAAAAATATTAATACATTTGTGTCTTACACAAATTATATTTTACAAAATATAACTATTAAAAATTGCATGCTTTAAATTTTTGTATTATGTTAATATCATGAAATCTTAGTAATTTAAATGTATTTTATATTATACTAGTTTGCTTGATTACTGATGTTGAAATCATGATCTATGTATATAAATATATTCGAATATTCAAATATCATCCGAATCGAATACACCTCTATTTGTATTTGTATTTATTTAATATTCGAATCAAAACTAATATTTGAATTTGAATTTGAATTTGAATTTGTATTTGTATTTAAATAACGTAAATTTGAATCATCATATTCAAATATGAATCACGAATCGAATTTAAAATATTTGATTTGTTTACCTCCCTACTCCCCGAGACCAGTTTCATGCCTAAAGAAGCTAAGTGTACGTATTTGTCTTCGTCTCATCGTTATTGGAGACTATTTTGACTATTTTACAATTTTTACACCTTTTTATTTTGTCACAATTTGGTATGCATGGAAAGCTAAGCATTGGGGCCACGGGCCGTACTAAAATTGGTGGCATTAACTGACATATACATAAGAGTGGACACGTCATTTTCGTGGGTCCCATATCCTCCCGCGTGAAAAATATAAAACGGTCCCAGAAACATCACCCGTACGTGTGGCACATGGAAAGCAATGGTAGGCGCACGTAACGTAACGTAGTACCAGCCCGTGCGTCCTTAAAAGTAACGGAGTACATACTGAATTGAATGAATGAACAAATCAAATGTCCCGGCTAGGGGTGTACACGGTACGGTTCTGAGACGGTTCCGGTACCGCCACCCCATGGCACCGGCACCGTGACCGGACTGGCCGGTACCGGTTCCGGTTCCCGGACCGGCGGTTCCGGTACCGGACCGGCCGGTTTCGGCCACCCCAAATTTATTTATTTTTTTTTTTGTTTTTTTTAAAGTTTTAAAATGTAAAATTATAAATTTGCAATTGTTAAAGGAAAGAATGAAAAAAAAATCTAAAAATGTACTCCCTCCGTTCCCAATTTGATTACAAATTGCGGGTTACGGAGTAAAACTTCTTACTTTTTGAAATCATTTTATTTACAAATTGGTATATCAATAAGATATAAAAATTACATATTAAAAAACTACGTCAAAAGTTCTACAGAACAAGAGGTGAGAAGAATATTTTATTTTATCAAATACTTAATGAAATCGCGTAAACAAACAAAAGTTATCGAGAGGAGAGAAAAAAAAAATTGTAATCTATTTAAGGACGGAGGGAGTAGTTGTTATTTAAATATTGTAAAATACGTAATACACGAACTGAAGAACAACTACATTTAATATCCTGACGGTTCAAAAAAAGCGACGAGGTAAATAACCATAAAAAAACCCTCGAAAGAGCTCATATATCGCTCACCTAAAAAAACTAATTACATATTTACATTAACATAAAAAAAGTTTATAACTTATTCTTCAGAACTCGGACTTCCATCTGTGGTTACATTCATGTAATGCTCCGAATCGAGTTGGTACGATGACTCTTGAGCTCGACGTCTTGCCAAGAGCAAATCTTGGGTGCAAACAAGTGTTTCAAGAGATTCAGCTTTAAGACAACTTCGGTAGTCGGTTAGAATGTTGCCGCCAGCACTGAATTCTCGTTCAACTGCTACGGTTGATACCGGGACGGACAAGACTTGTCTTGCTAGCATTCCGAGACATGGGAACATGTGTTCGTTCCGCTTCCACCATCCGAGGACGTCAAACTCCACGTCGTCGTCGTCGTAATCGCATGGCACCCATTGGTTCATAGCAAGTTCGTTGTGCGAGCTTACTGTTGTATCACTTGAACTCGTCGAAGGCTGAGCACGCTTCCCTTTCTTTGCAAGAAGCCCACTGACTATTCCTTTAAAACCTTTTTTTGATTTGGGGGGCGGAGGTAGTGCTGTTTCTTCTGGTACAGTACCGTATAACCCTTGATATTCCTTAAACAAATTCTCAAAAAGAGTTATAGCATTATCTCTTTCATTTTTCCATTCTATTAAATGGCTGTAGTAATAACTATTTTCATCTAAAAAACAAGTGTAGTAATAGTCAATTAGAATTTTAAAATTTTCAATCTTAAAGCGTGGATCACAAATAATACATATTTTATAAATATCAGGAATGTACAAATAATAAGCACACCATTTATCTCTCATAGGACGGACATAAGGCAACAAATCTTCATCAGCCATACTTTCACGAAAACATGTTGCGATTGTAATGCACTCTTTAAAAAATGTATTTGTAGTTGGTTGGTAAACATGTGAAAAAGTAAGAATTGCGTTATTAAAAACTTCTAATACGGTATTCAATTTTTCAACAATAACAAATTCAAAAGGTGAAATGATTATACGAAGTTCATTCCTAAAAAAGTTAGCAAGTTCCTCTTTATAGCTTAGAATCTATGCTATCAACTTGTAAGTACTATTCCATCTAATGTGGATATCTTTGGCAAATTGTACTTCTTTTCTACCCTTAGACTTACAGAATATCTTCCAGGACCTAAAAATAAGACGAGCCCCCCAAATTTTCCTAATTCCTTCTTTAATATTCGTCAAACCCCCCCCCATAGCTTCTAGTCTCTGTTGAACACATAAATTTAAAACATGACAGACACACCGTTAATGCAGAAATCTACCCATAGTCGTAGTAGGGGGCAAATTTCTCTAAGTCTAGGAATAGCGGCAATATTATTAGTAGCATTATCAAAACCAAATCAAAACACTTTATTAGATAAGTTGTATTCCCGTAGAATACTCTGAAGCAATAGAAAAATATTTTCAGCAATATGAGATTCATTGAAATCACGAAATGCAAGAACACGTTTATGCATAATCCAATCACTATCTATCCAATGACAAGTAACACCCATATAAGACAAATTATGATAAGTTTCATTCCAAATATCAGAACAAATAGCAAACACGAGAATTAAAATTGAGAAAAAAATTTGCCAAATTTATTTTTTCAATTTTATACTGGCGAATAATTTCTTGTTTAATTGTTTTTCTTGAAAAACCTCTTGCTTGAGGGTTTAATGTCTGTTGACAATAATCTATAAATCCAACTTTTTCAGAAAACATGTATGGCAAATTTTCTTCACAAATCATTTCGGCCATTTTTTGCTTATTTTGCTCGTCGCTATAAGCAAAAAGGTCGCCCTTACCCCTGTTAGCAAACCGACAAATTTGAGTTTGCACTTCTTATCGTCCCTTCTTTTTCGCCGCGTATTTGGCGTACTCCACGGGATGCCTCGACCTTAGGTGTTTTTCCGGACTGCCATAACCGCCGGAAACTCCCATTTTAATGACGGCCCCACAATACTTACAAGTTCCATAAACTATGCCATCTTTTGTTTCTTTTTCAAAAGGATAAACAAATAAATCTGATTTTAATTTTTTTTACCTTTGTCCAAACCTCGAGAGGTCTCAGGCTCACCTGCCTCCACGTCGACGTCATTGCTGTGCGGTGTAGGCTCCTTGTCCCCGTCCAGATTATCCAGTGCTGCTTCATCAACATCCTCGAATAAACTATCAAGAGTGAGGAGATTCGCGTCCCCTCTACCAGAATAAATCTGGTCAAATTCTTCATCCGTCATACCGTCCCCGATGAATTGATCGGGGATAGCAGGAATGGAAGAGACAGAGTGTCTTCCTCGAGAACCGCGTGAGGTCGAACCATCGGAGGTGGCTTTAGCTTTGCCTTTCCTCAAACTTCGGTTCACGGAGCCCATATCCACGGACCTTCTACCGGACTCTCTCGACATTTTAATATACATATTTTTTGATATTAAAAAGAATTAATATATTAAATTTCGAAAATTTAAAAAAAATTCAAAATTTTATATATTAGATTTTCAAAAATTTCGAAAATAATAAGTGTTTTAAAAAATATAATTTATTTAAAAAATTAAATATATATTTAAATTATTTAAAGAATATATTTAAAAATTAATTATATATTAAATTTATAAAATTTCTAAAAAAATTTGAAATTTTATATATTAAAATTTCGAAAATTTCAAAATTTTAATAGTAGTAAAAAACTAAAAATATATGATAATTGATAATATGAATAATGAATGTATTTATAGGTTATTACAATATTATGTAATATATTAATATTTATTTATATTATTATATGAATATTATATGTATAAAAATTAAAAAGGGATAATAAGATTAAGAGATTGATAGATTGATAGATTGAAAGAATGAGAGAATGAGAGATGGATTGAGAGATTGAGTGATTTTTTAGGGAAAAAAATGTGAGATTTTATAGTATTT